CCTTGCGAGAATTCCATGTCGTTAAGTCCCCTGCCCTTACACGGGAATTACATAATTTCGCTTTTCGAAACCTCAGCTGGCTAAAAGAAGAACGATAACAAACCTTCGGCCCGAGACCGGGTTTTCCAAATAACTTTTCGCTTTTCCTCGCGAGCGAAGATAAACAGATCAACACCGCATTTGGATCCTGCGCTTCGTACAAGTCAACAGTCTAAAATACGCTAGAGCCATTATCATGACCTTCATAAAACAAAATTTGTATGGCGTGTTTTGTAGGCGAGCAAAAATCATGCGCGCACAAATAAAAAAGGTAAATTCACATGCTAAATTCTCATCTTTCAGTAAAATAATGAAGCACCTGGAACAGCTCAGAGATTTGCAACGTGTTTCTCCGCAAATGCCAGGAAAAAGGCTATGTTCTCCATCTGTTTGAAAGGCCATGCCTGACGAGTTGATCTTCTTGACGACACCCGGCTGTAGGCTATTTGCAAGCCTGGATTTTTTTCGTATTATTCACAAAAATTTTTTACGAGGAATCGTGCAACTGCATTAATTTAGCCTCTAGCAGATCATAGAACCAGAACCAAACTGACTGAGAAATAAAATACCTGCAAAGCAATGTCCCATCCTTGAACAAGGCACAGAAGTTGTCGAGATTGCCATCAGTATTGAAATCCTCGCCAGTTACTGACTGAAGCTGCACATATTTAGCAAGCTAGTACAAGCTAGTCAATGAATTCAATGCGTCAAGTGAAATATGCGAACATTTGGATTTTACCATGCTCCGCCGTGAAAGACAAAACTGCAGGGGAATATGTACGGACCATTTTTCTTACTGGAATTTTGCACCCGCGGAAGTGCTCCAAACGATGCGAAAAGGGAGGAGAGAAGAAGGCGGCAAATCTAATGGGGGGAAGAAAAAACGATAAGCTACTCATCGTGCAGCAAAAGTTAAGTTGTAGCACATAAAAGTCCTCAGACACTGTAGAGGCGAAAGCATACAGAGGCAGAAAATGTGCTGTTTCGAAAGCTGAACTACCTCCGCAGGTCAAACTAAGGGGCCGAGGTGTGGAGCTTACTTGGTTACTGCACAAAAATTGCATTATATGGTGAAGTCGTTTCACCAGGCTGCTCACGCTTCCGCGCCTGCCAATGAAATGATCAGCACTCATGCACAAAGTTTTAACCCATTCGCGACCGCGCAGGATTGCGCAATAGCAGCAGCGTCAGGAGATTTTTCTTCAATAAAATTCGAGTGGAGGGAGATTTCCTCTGCCCAGGGCTGGCGTAGATGAGCGAGGGTATGAAGATTCTTTTCATGGAAGAAAACTTTCCAAATTCCATTTCAAGCCCTGCAGCCACAGTAATGCCATTGTCCCGAGTGAGAGCTTTGTCAGCCACCGGTGGCTGACATTGTCACGAATGGGTTAAGGGCGTCCGAGCGAGTTGCAAAGTGCCTGCAATGCGCCAAGCCGCCTTCACATCGCGCGCCAGCTTCATATATACGTAGGCAACACGCACATTCTGAGCTGGAGTGAAATTAACGTGCTTAGAAAGAGTAGTGCTTTTGAGCTGTTGGCACTGCTTTTACATACCGTTAGGCCACCAGACTTCTACATGAATTCGGTCAGCTGAACGGTAGACTGGGAATATAGAAGACACCGTAGAATAATTAGACCGACATATTAATCCATTTTATAGATGCTCAATTTTCTATCTGTTTTGTTAATCAATGCGCATATAATTTTCTCAGCAAACCTCCGAATCTTTCAGCAGATGATCTCTCAAACAGTGAAGGATGAGCGCAGCTTGACAGCAAGCTAAATGAGATCCTACCGAACGATCTATTCTCCCGGTCGGACAGTGTAGCCCACCAGTTTTACAATGTGCCATTGCCACGGCTACAAATTGCGCGAAAATGTCGCTAGGCGTCACCCCATGACGTACAAGGGTATATGCTTGCGCGGTTGCATCAAAACCACGGGTTAGATGCTTTTTGAATCAACCGGTCGGAAGCGCTCTATAGGGATCGCGAACTACGCTTCCGGACATTGCAGATCATCAATTCAGACGTCGGATAACTTCGTATAATGTATGCTATAGCATAGTTATTACGCAGTGTTTTAAAGCAACAGTTCAGGGAGGGTCCGAAAATTTCAATGCCACTACTACTGAGGGATACACGAGCCCTAGTGAAGAACATATGCAGTGGAAATAATAAACGAACTTACCTCAGAAACTCAAAAACAGGGTGGAAAGTCCCTCAAACATGGGTGTTCTTGGGGATTTCCCCAATCCCGCCCCCTTGCCGGCCGTCATTGGACGCGTCGGCAATCGGGGAGTGATCATTTTGTACTCCTACTGACTAGTATAGGGCGCCATTCGTTGCGGGACCCACTGCCTTAACCCGCGGGGATCCCATGTGATCGCGGTTGAATTCGAACATTCCAGCTTCTCACGCATGTCAAGTGTCTGCCCTCACCCCCCACCCCCCTAGACTGGCGACACTGCCCCTGGCTCACGGATTCCCCGCTCCACATTGAAGGGTTCACTGTAGCAGGAGGCAGTGGGACCCGTAACGAATGGCGTCCTTTACTAGTCAGAAGGAGTACAAAACGATGCGTTCTACAATCGGCTTTTTGGGACCACAGGGAAAATTGATTGAAAAATGGAGCGCGTTTACAGCGGGCACGTTCAGACAACTCGTCCAACGTGCGTCTTTATCCATTGCTGAGCGGCAGAGGGAGAGTACCTGTCTAAGACCCTCCCCGACGTTTTTTTCCAGTTTTTCATACATTAATCGTAATAACTTCGTATAGGGGGGGCGGCAGTCTGCTCCCTGCATGTCGAAATCCAGTGGCAGGTTGCGAGGGTAGCAGTTAGGGGGGTGGGGGTGACGCGGCAGTATCAACTTTGACATGCGTGAAAAGCTGCGAATCGTTTCGAGTTTACAAGTTTACAATAAAAACAACGCTTTCGTGACTGTTGCTTAACACATGAGCTTGACTGATCCGCTAGCAATTTAACAAACACCTTCAGAAATATGAAACCTGCTTGCATGCAAGAATCAGTAATTCACAAATGCGTGTTTTATTTTGAAATCGGTAGCGAGAAAAAGTGATAACTTACGTGAACCCAATGCAAAATCTGCGAAGCTAGTTCGGTATCGTACTTGCCATGAATCTTCTGTTGTGCCTCAAGAGCGATGCCAGACTTCTCAGCACGAACGTCGCACATTTTAAATGGATTCTACGAATGAATGTTTATGAGCAAGAAAAAGCCAGGACAGTAAAAACGTTAACGAATTCGGGACCAATCTGAAAGATCAGTACAAGAAAAAACGAGTAGAAATAATCGTCTATTTACTGATATTAAGTCCCTCTTGATGAGAGTCCAGACAAAATGCAAGGATCGATGGAATACGGATAGTTGCTCAGTTGGAGAACCGCTTATGATCTCACATCCCAGCTGAGTCTGTTGAAATAGCTTATAGAATACTATTTGGAAGAAAGGATGGGAGTCGGATTATATATCTAACTTGTAAGCAATATCTTCTGGAAAAGGACTAGCATTAGATCTAACTGCCATCTACAAAGAAAACAAGTCTTATTCAGATCTTTCATTACTGAAGAAGAGGGAGAAAGAGGACTTCATCTCATTTGTCATCTATGCATATTACGTAATGTATAACACTATGTTTGTGTATTTCTCTACACTCTAGATGTTCGACAACATTTAAATAGTCGTCATTAAGCGGTCTTTTTCATTCCAAAGAAAACAAAAAAACAGGAAAAAAGGAAGGGTATGAGCCAAAATTGGACGCATGAAATGGAAGCAGCATCCATCCCGAAACGCTCACATTTCTAGCGAATCGATTCCCAAGGACATGCATAGCGTCATTGTGTGATTTTGCAATCCAACTACGCATCGAATCAACGCGTTTTTATGTTGAAATTCAATAAGACAAGTAAAGCGAGAAATTGCTCGATACATCTTTCGTACCTAGAAGAATGTATGGGAAGTTGCAAACATTTTGATTCAGTAACTAATAAAACTTGTAAGCAATAAGGACTTCTGGAAAAGGACTAGCATTAATGAAAAACCAATTTATCTTAGTTCTAAGGAGCTATTGCTCCTGTGAGTCATCACTGCACCCTCCCCCTCCCCTCCCCTATCGCAATAGAATGAACAAATCATTCGATATAACAATTACAAATGAAATACATGAAAAAATGAAATACAAAGGCAACCCTAACTCATCTGAATAGGATAACAGTTCCACCGAGCACTGATTTTGAGGAAAGGCATGTGCAGTAGGAAATTCGGTTCTGTTTTGGTTAGGCTGGTGTCAGAGTGTGATTCGCGCGAATCGCGCGACGGATCACAGAAATCACAAGTGCCCGATCAATACTGCAAGGTGCTCTCCAATCCCGCCGCCATTTCTGCTTGATAGTGATGGTTGAATGACGACTGTTCATGATTCCTACTTGTTCAGTGTTTCAAATGTTCAAATGGGCACTTGCGATTTTGCGATTTCGCGC